TTGTGATGTGCTAATCTCTGCTTTATATGAATTTTCAAGTTTCCTGGTTTAATTCATATCTCTAAATTTCCATCTTTTCTGAAACAACCTTCACTTTTTATAGGGAGCAGGAACTCGAACAACTATCACTTTTTAGCCTCTGTCTTTTGACTATCGAAGGTATGAACGAAACTAGTGATGACAGAATATGAGAATCCCACAGAGATAATTGAACACCCGGCGAATCCAGGAGATCATGCAGTACACTAAAAGTCACAGCGTACATGGCAAAGCGCTTTTGTTCATCAAATCCTGTTATGGATGATTATTGGAGCGTGATTACAAGAGCGTAGAGCACGTTCTTCTTCACAGCTTCTCTTCCCTTCCCGAAGGGGTGCGCAAGGCTCAGAGTGTTTATCTGAAGTAGCACTATTCTGCGCTAGTTTACCGCGTCATCAAGCATATTCGTCACATATATTTTGTAATGCGGCCTTTTTGTTGTAACAAAAGGCCATGTATTCGAGTAAACACTTTGTATGTACTCAATCGCAGCGTTTGTCAACGCAACTTTTTTGCGATCTTTTGGCAGTTTCAAATAGAAAATTGCTTTTGAATTGCATCTGGTATTCTTGAGACTCAAACAAAGCTCATTCCAAAATTGTACTTTAAGGTGGAATGTATAATCGGTACTCGGAATGTTTACGGACGCATTACAGAATTTTATTGCGCGCGGAAGAATCATCTTTTGATCTTTGAAACTTACGGATAACTTCCTTTTCAATCAGCTACAGAAATCCATTTAACTGCCAACTGATTTAGCATTAAAGTGACCGGCATCAGAGTTTATGGACGTCGCCTTTTTCGACCATTCTAAGGTGGCATTTTAGCTTTGGGAGACAGCTTCTTTTCTTGGAGGGCTAAGCAGAGCGTGCAGGAAAGAAACTATGAGCTGTGTTTACTTGTTCGCTTTAGAAAAAAGTGCTAATCGTAAGCTTCAAATAAGCGAGGAAATGGGAAACGAGGAAAAACTAGTTTATGTACGAATTACAAACAAATAATTTGCCCCTCACAGTGGCCTGAAAGGACAGCCTCTACCTATCCCTCTCCTAAATATTCTATGCGATGTGCTAGAGTTCGGGCTTGTTTTCCGGAAGCATAGTGTCATTAGAAGCTAGTGTTATGGGTGAACAGCATAATCGACACCTCGATCTCGGATTACTTACAGATTTATATTAACGAAGCTCCGTCGCTAGCTATGTTCTGAGGAAAATTGCTCAGCTAGAAGTAGGACGTTAAAAGTGCATCGACTCGAAATCATCAGGATATTTCGCAATTTGTGTTATTAAACTGGTTACAGCGGATGAAAAAACGTAAGGGAAAATCGCTTTTTCACTCAAAGAGGTTTGGCAAAAGGTCTAGTATTGCTTAGGAGGAATAAAATTACATTTATTTCAGATACTCTGCTTCTTCTGAGGCAAAATTTACCGTGCTAGGCCACAACAAAATTCAAAAAGTAGGGCTACGGTAACTCTATAGTGAAATTTACAGGCTAAATAGTATTCTGCTTATCTTTGTTAGTACTGTGGCTATAAGGATAAATTAAATTGGCGCCAGAGTTTTTAATCAAATGGTGATAAGCCTAATTTCTACACTGCGTTTCATCTAAAATGTAGTAAAAGCAGTCATTTGCGGCTGCATTTCTGCATTTCATTTCTTTCTTCATTTCTGTTTTTATAAGATTTAATGGCAACATATTAAGTAAACGAGAAATATTTATTTTCCCTTGGGCTAAGCTATCAAAGCTCCATGAGCTGAGCAGAAAGAAGGTTTTGCTGTCTAGCACGGCTCATTTTCCTCCAAACTTTCGAGGCGTAGGCGCAGATTATGAGATTTGTAAGGAATCTCTTAATGTTTTTGTGAAATCTGCTGTTTGTGTTTGCTTTTCTGTCGCCAATGAGGAAATCAAATATTCATAAAACTGTATTAAGTGGCTTCTCAATTTCTGTCACATGGCACGAATAAAGGTATATTAAGCTTCAAGAATTATGGCGGACTCCCATTGTCATGCAAGAATCGAGAGTTTTATTTCATCACAACAAATAAGTTTGAAGTTAGTTATATTTGTGACCTTCTACATATCCACTATCGTCTCGTCTCCAATGCAAACTCCCAAGAGTTGAGGATGTTTTGTAGAAAAGGACCTGACTCAATGAGAGTTGTTAACCTGAACTTCTAACAATCTCAGATGCCCTTTTCACCGTATTTATCTCAACTCAAACTAATTGCCGCGTATGTAAGTCCTTCTAAACAAGTACAGGTTGCCATTGATGCAGTAAGTACGCTGAATTGTAGATGACTTGCATACAAACGTACGTCTCTGCAATGCAAATTTGACGTCTGTCTTGTCTGGGTTTTGAAAGGAATTTTTGAGTTCCATTTGGCATGTACTACACTAACAAAAACTGAGGATTGTACATAGTAGGCAATATATTAGACTGGCTAATATAATTTCGTTCTGACAGGAACTTCAAAGCTAATTCCAATGACAGCTATTAGGGTGTCCCATAACTATTTACCGTTTTTACCCTAAACATCAGCATTTCTCGAGAACTAGGGCACCTACAAAGGGCACAAATACATGGTCGTACTTCTGTATGTATGAGCTATATGATCACGTGCGTGGGAGGAGCTTGGAACGTCTAGGGGCGGAGTTTGCCTTTTTACTCCATTCAATTTTTTCTTTATATCTAGCCATGGAAAAAACACGGAAAATGTAGAGTTGAATGCTCGATGTGTCAAGCATATGCTAAGATAAATGGGGATTTTTAAGATTTTTTGGGGCAGAGAAACGATTTTTTCCCAAAAAGCTCGTGTTTGACTGCTGTCAGATTTGAGCTCAAAACTTCACGTGGAATACGATTTCGGCAGACTCTTGGTAGCCGTCTTGTAGAGCTTGCTTTGCCCTGTCGAATGATTACTCAAGAAACAATAATTGAAAGAAAGATACAAAATGGCGACGGTTACAGTAAAAAAAGTAAATAATTATGGAACAACCTAATATTTAGCTGAGATTCTTTGTGAGAAGGTAGCTTCAGGTTCATTCTCATATGTCAGATACTCGAAACTTTTCTATAGTCATTAAAAGACATTTATGCCCCTATATGTCTAGTCTTCTAAAAAATTACTTTTCCATGCTTCTGAATTTCGTTCTTTGCTTGTAGTGAATGCATAGACAAATAATCTGGTATCTAAATAAATACAACCTTTGGGCACATGGCGGAGCAGATTGTAGGTTGATCTGCTGTTTGGGAATTTCTTTATCCAAAAATGTGAGAATTTCCACGCATTTACGCGTGGGAGTCAGATTTGATTTAGATTTGAACATCTATGGCAGTGGCTGAAAATATGATAATTTGTTGTGTGGGTGGCAAATGTACATCACTCCAAATTCAGTGCTTTATTTGTAGTACGATTTTTCCAAAATTTGGTGAGAAAACCCAATTATTCTTCTTTCCTGCACTATTCCGTTATGAGTGGACCATTCGTTCTCCCTAATTTGTTCTTTCCAATAGTACCACATATTTATACATTAATCAATTTGTAAAATTCCACAACGACTGGAATTATTTTTTATCCAATTTGATGCTATAACGCAATACGTAATTCTTTCCATTCGTTTCAGGTTCGCCCTCATCTCTACTAACTGTGTTCGATCGTAATCTTCTAAAGCAAAGAAAGAGGTAGGTCAACCAATAGAGAGTTTTTTTGCTGAAATTCCAAAAAAATGTGTGAACGCAGAAAAGTACCTTTAGCTTTGCAAAAAGGTTAGAAGCCTTATTTTGAAATGTTTACTTATGTATCACTTTCCGCAAAGAAAATCTAGATTTTTGCAAGCCTCTCGACTCCCCTAAGTTCATCCCGATGTTAATTTTGTTACCCTTTAATGCGGTTACGTGCATATCACATATGTGTATGCGGCAATATTTACGATGTATTTATTGGTCCACAATATTTTATGATCGGCTGATTGAATGTAACCGAAAGCTTCATCCATTTCTTAGGTTTTATTTCTTTGTTAACGATATTTGGCTATAAAGTCTGCAAAACTGGTAGGAATTTTGATAGCATTCGATTACCATATCTGACAGCCCTGTTTTACAAGCAGTATTCTTAACAAGCGTCAAACTTGAAATTTCATTTCATTCATTGCGTCGGCAAATTAACGTGTGAATACCCAGTTTAGTTTTTGATTAGCAGAAAGCACTTTTACTTTGGTCTTTCCTCCTTACCCCTTAAGATTCTATACTAGCAATCTTTCAAAAACAATTGTTTCTAGCAGCATCCGTTAAATCGTACAACATCATCTTAGATTCCGGAATCACGAAGCTTTAACTGACTCCACCTCTCGGCTTCCAGAATATCGAGCGTACTTTGTTTGTTTGAGGTCGAATTCATAGATGGGTACATTGTTTTCTCTTTTTTATTGAAAACGGTGGATTAAGTTTTTCTTGAAAAAACTGTTGGAGGATTAGCAATTTCATCTTAAAAAGTCCACAAAAAAGCGTGGAGGCTGCCCAAATTTTCTTGAAACAAGATTTTTCGAGCGAAATCCCGCAAGGTGCTAAGGATTTGATATAATTTGTGGCAATACAAATATCATTCAGTAGCTCTTGCATAAGTTTCGCTACTAGACAGAAGCTACTCAAGTGTTCATTGATCTTCGTTTTGGAAGTTCTGCATCGGTGAGGAAGAAAAACTATGTGAATTATTTAGAATAAGCCAATATAGACCTTGGCTTTGAAGTGCTTGCTCCCAAGCTACATGGCATGCTTGTGAGAAATAGAATTATATATATGTAGTGCGCAGCACTATTTCGACTCAAGACAAGGATATATCCGCCCCCTCTCAAGCTTCTGAATGAGGTTAAGTTTCCTCAGTACATTTCCTCCGCTCAACGTCTCTTCGCTACTGCCTCGGAGCCCCGCCTATCTCGTGGACCGCCTATTTAAGATCACAGCCAGCCGCTCATCATTAGAGAACCGACCGCCTCAGCCACACATCATGCAAGCTGCAGTTGCCTATCTGTTGGCATTCATTCTGCTCATACAGTAAGCTCTAATTACATCTAATTAATGGTTACTTTCACTCTTGGGCGTAAATTGCCACATATCTTCACTGCGTTGACACGATAATTACAATGGGGAGTGTAGAGGTGGGAAAACGCTCCGTGATCTTAGTAGAAGTAAAAGTCATAGTTTCACTGGTAAGGAAAACAATGAACTGCATGAGCTCAAAACTCCAATCTAAAAATTCCCTTCGGCTTGCGAATTGACATTTCCTTCATTTTATTGCACTAAATCATAGTTGGCTCCTCGAGTCTTATTTATTGTTTCAGAACGTCCAGTTAAGTACTTTATTATGGACAGAGAGTAAAGACAGTATGGGACAAGCATATAGATCTTTTCTGAACTCCTTTAGAATGCATCACATGAAAAATAAATTCATAAATGGCTTTGTTTTCGGTAATTTTCCTATAGTATGCAGTTCGTAAGTGAGAGGCCCAATAGATGCTAATTGCTAATCTCCCCAATAGAGCAGCGAAATCTTGCGTAAATTTAGTATGTACATATAGCCTTGAGCAAAGATCATCAAATTCAGAAGGAAGATGTTCCCAAAACCTACCGTTTTTCCCTCGGACATGCATATGGGTTTTAGAGCACTGAAAAATTTCTTATCATGCAAAACTAGCAACATTTCGAACTCTTCATGCTTGTGATTCAGATGGCTTTCACACGCTATGGTGTATGCTTGAAATTTGATGTCTCTGGAAAAATTTACAGCATGACTGATAGTGCCACAAAATTTTTCTTCCCAGTAGCGATCATATTCATACATTCGCTCCATTCTCAGTTTTTTATTGCTCGCAAAGAATCGCAACTTCATTGAGACCTTCTGAAGTCCATCGCTCATGTTAATACTCCTACGCTTTTTTTGTGCTTGGACGAAAAGACCAATCCCTTTTCCTACTGTGGCTGGGAGCGTTTGGCATAGTTAATCTCATGGCAAACGAAAGCTATCTTAGTTCCTCGAGGAAAGTATCTATCATCACACAGATAATATTTCAGAAGTCTCTGATGACGTCAATGTTTGTTCATTCTCTGATACTGTACTGTATAGATGATACCAAAACAAATAACTCTGCTATGAACCCAAATAGCAATCTTCGCAGCAAGATTTATGTTCTGTTTTTCGCCTGCTGCAGACTCTCTGGTCAATCACTTGACCAAACATATGTGACTGATTCATAAGAGAATGCAAAATAGGTATTGCAAAAGAGGTATTGGAGGGGGGGGGGGGAGGGGACTTATTTTACATAAAATCTCAGAATAAATAGGAACATCATACATCTTTATTGCATCTTGAGAAATCCTTGTTTATCATGGGCAAGAGGATGATGAAGTCTGCAGTGCTAGTACATTTAATTCACTTTCAAGCTCAAATGCCAAAGGCGCATTGATGATTTTTGGGTGGGCTAGGGCCGATATATATATTGCATCTTGAGAAATCCTTGTTTATCATGGGCAAGAGGATGATGAAGTCTGCAGTGCTAGTACATTTAATTCATTAGATACATTAGATATATTAGATAATCGAGCAGCATTGTATGCATGAAAGCACAAATTTTATTGTGCTATGGGAGTGGTACAACTCAAATTATTGTCGCGGAAAAGAAAAAGACGCCGTTATGAGCTAAAATTGCTTATATGACGTAAAGTTAGTTTTATTGTAATTTTTTAATCCACGAGGCACTTTACAAAAGAAATGTTAAATTGAAATGAACATGACTGAGTACTAACATGAAGTTATTCCCTGCCAATTAGCTTGTTTTCTCTGTATTGCACTTATGCAATGACTGTTGCACTGCTTACTCATTACAGTGCATTTAACGCCTTCACTTTGTTTTTCTAAATTTTTTAATCGAAAAAAAGCGGATGGTTGTAGAAGAATTACTTAATGGACTGCAGCATATTTTATTGTTGAAGGTATATGCAAGGCTCAAACGTTTATAACATTGTGCAAATGACTTGTTTTCTCTTGTTTTAATTAAAATAATTTTCGAAATTTTTTTCAAAATCAAAAAATATAAATTTGCCTTGGGCAACGTTCCCGAGATTTTGAGGCATAAAGCGCCAAAATTTAAGAACCCCAGGAATTTTTCCTGCCCGTTCATTGAAAAATTTTTTTGTCTTCTTCCCTCCTGCCCCAAGATAGCTGTGGGATATTGATGATTTGGGAGTGATAGGAGTGGTGTGGACTAATGTGGATGGTGTTGCTGTGGGGCGGTTTCCGTGTGGATTGGTGTGGATGGTGTTGCTGTGGGGCGAAGTTCGTGTAGACTGATGTGGATGGTGTTGCTGTGGGGCGAAGTTCGTGTAGATTGGTGTGGATGGTGTTGCTGTGGGGCGAGGTTCGTGTGGACTGGTGTGAATGGTGTTGCTGTGAGGCGGGGTTTTCCTCTGGATTGGTGTGGATGGTGTTGCTGTGGGGCGGTTTTCGTGTGGATTGGTGTGGATGGTGTTGCTGTGGGGCGAAGTTCGTGTAGATTGGTGTGGATGGTGTTGCTGTGGGGCGAAGTTCGTGTAGATTGGTGTGGATGGTGTTGCTGTGGGGCGAGGTTCGTGTGGACTGGTGTGAATGGTGTTGCTGTGAGGCGGGGTTTTCCTCTGGATTGGTGTGGATGGTGTTGCTGTGGGGCGGTTTTCGTGTGGATTGGTGTGGATGGTGTTGCTGTGGGGCGAAGTTCGTGTAGATTGGTGTGGATGGTGTTGCTGTGGGGCGAGGTTCGTGTGGACTGGTGTGAATGGTGTTGCTGTGAGGCGGGGTTTTCCTCTGGATTGGTGTGGATGGTGTTGCTGTGGGGCGGTTTTCGTGTGGATTGGTGTGGATGGTGTTGCTGTGGGGCGAAGTTCGTGTAGACTGGTGTGGATGGTGTTGCTGTGGGGCGAAGTTCGTGTAGATTGGTGTGGATGGTGTTGCTGTGGGGCGAGGTTCGTGTGGATTGGTGTGAATGGTGTTGCTGTGAGGCGAGGTTTCTGTGGATTGGTTGGATGGTGTTGCTGTGGGGCGAAGTTCGTGTAGACTGGTGTGGATGGTGTTGCTGTGGGGCGAAGTTCGTGTAGATTGGTGTGGATGGTATTGCTGTGGGGCGAGGTTCGTGTGGATTGGTGTGAATGGTGTTGCTGTGAGGCGAGGTTTCTGTGGACTGGTGTGAATGGTGTTGCTGTGAGGCGAGGTTTCTGTGGATTGGTGTGGATGGTGTTGCTGTGAGGCGGTTTTCGTGTGGATTGGTGTGGATGGTGTTGCTGTGAGGCGGTTTTCGTGTGGATTGCTGTGTATGGTGTTGCTGTGGGGCGAGGTTCGTGTGGATTGGTGTGAATGGTGTTGCCGCAATTTGATGCGGATTGGTGTGGATTAGTGGTGCAATCTATAATCTGGAGTGGAATGGTGTGATGGTGGTGCATCTGCTTTGTGGCAGTCTTTTGTTACTGTAATAAGCGTAGGGCAATGGTGCTACAGTGTAAGTATTAGAATGATGAGTATAGTGACATCAAACCTATCAGAAGAAAACTAATGTGGATTTACTATGGAAAAACAGTAGAATCTTAACATTTTGCAGTTGCACCCACTGGACTGAATCTATTAGATTTGGATTAAGTGTTTGCTCTAAACATTGATGACCAGTAAAAAAAAATATGGATAAAAAAATATGGATTGAATTTATAATTTATTTCAGTTCTGCTGTGGCATGGTCATTCGGACGCGAGGCTCAAGGTGGAAACGAGGCTCTTGATAGCAGAATGTAAGTCTTTTATCAAAATGTGCATTGCTTGTTACAGTAGGAAAGGAGGAAATTCCCTGCTTTTTGTATTAGGGGTCTGACTTTATTGAATCATATTTGCCATGCATATGTGTTTTACAATCTCAAACAATTCACTACATAAGCGATGTCATTAAATCATGAACTTATTCAGTAGGCCCTTAAGAGCTTAAAATTTACAATGACGTAAACATTTTTTTGTCTTTTCAATCACACTAGCCAGTTGCCATAATTCTTTACCGAAACTAAATAAAGGTTGTCAACATATATATCTCAGTAATTTTAGATTCTAGCTAGTTGCTAGTATGTGATGGCAGGCATAAATAATCATCGAGATCAGGATAGAATTAGAATCACACGTGCGAGACACTTTTGATTGCACAGTTCCATCTGCTCACTCGCAAACTATCTTTGCTTATGTTTTGACGCTATGCTTATGAAACCGGTATCGCAGGATGATCACATTAAACTACGAAAAATTTTTCCTCATGGACTTCAAAACACTTGAACCGATTTTTTTGCGGATGTAATTTTAGGAGTTGAATGGAAAAAATGCAAGGTGTAAGTATTGCGATTGCACCTTCATAAAATATTGGCCGTCATTCAGAAATTTTTACATTTTCTCTATCATGCTAAAGGATAGTACCTTCGCTTAATGAATATTGGTCCCGTCGTAGGTGCGAGGGCGGCTATTTGCCACCGCATTGTGTGTAATTGCGGGCGAAGCCAAATCTATTCAAGTATATCTTTGTCCTTCTCAGTCAATTCAGTGCGACGCAATTTGATTTCTGGCACACTTGACCAACGATCTGCTTTCCAAGTGATCGTGTAGGAGAAATCTGAACTGGGAGAAATGGAGATTTGCAATTTTAGCCCATAACTGAACGTAATCGTATTTTCCAAGTTCATGAATTCCCTGAGTTTTTTGTTGCGTGGGCTGGAGCAAGCAATGCGGAAAATCTAATGGATGACTTTCCCTCCTATCAGCTGCTCTCTTAAAAAATTGTAATCACCTTCCTTCTGGACTGCAGAAAGCTGCGATAATATGCAAAGCAATTACTTTAGAGCTGATACCCAGTAGGGGTAGAGGTGAAAAAAGTTTAATTTGTAGCAGTTATAGCGAAAATTGTGCACAACTTTATAAGCGAAAGCAAGAACAGCTATGGGAAACTGGAAAACTGTCTCAAAAAAGCATTGGTAGCTAACCACAATTTTTGTATTCGATGACTTCCGGGTACAACTTGAAGAAGTTCTATTTGCAAGATAAATGTGTTTTGTTGCCCATCGTGGCTACGAATGGAATTGCACGTATTTGGGGTATCGTGGAGGCCTCAGAGCTTCGAATCAAAGTTAAAGTCGATCTGTAGTTTGATGGCTTGTATCCATGTGAGATATCAAATCAGAGCGGTCAACGTTGCTGAACATTCAAAATTCGCTCTTTTTAAGTTATTTCACATTGTCCCAAAAGCAAGGATATTTCGTTTTGTTTGTGCTTTTGCTTTGCTTGTCATTCGTTTTTATTTCTAAGGAACAGTTCAGCGAAAGTGAAAATATAGAAGAATTTTCCCCAGTTTCGTTTCATAAATGTCTCTGATATTTTATACAATAGTTATTTCGTTTTGAAAATGTCACTTTGAAGGGATTCAAACGATATTTTAGGGCAGGTAACGAGTGTAACCAGATGCTTTGAAGCCCTGTAGAAGATGATGATTATACATATCACTATCTTTTATGCTCTATAAATGCAATGAGTATATATTTCTAGTTCTTTATTTAAATATGAAATTGCATCAACTTTTGAGCAAATGCTCAAGTTTCATCACAAGATAGATGGTTCTCGCCCACGTGAGATTATCTCGAGTTGAATCCCCGGAGAGCTCGATTTTGCAAAAAATGTAAGTGCAGCTTCAAATGTTAGTTGCAAATCTTTTGCTAAACTTCTGAACAAGAACAGAGCCCCGTTAGTAGTCATGGTTGTTTAGCAAGTACCAGGGACCTCCTGAGCTTCATTATCATCTGTGTGGGCTAAGTAGGGGTTACATGACGTGTAGATCTATGTTCTCTTTGCTTGAGAATCCTCCAAATTGAAAACCCGGTTCGACGTAAAGCCGAATGTACTTCTGAGTCAGCCTACACAAAGTAATGGTATCCGCTGCTGGGTTTGATGAAAGAAAGCTTGCATTTGATAAACAACATGATTGCCTGCGCAGATCCTATTTCTTCCTGGGCAAAGTCGATTTGTGAGTGAACTGCGATATCAAAATAGAACGTAGATTGCTGCTCGGAAAACAGATGATACACCTCACTCGTCCATTTCAAGTGCTCTAGTTGAGAACAAGATTTCGTTTATCAGGACTTGCCAGAAAAGGCATAGCAGATCTTACAGAGACGAAATTCAAAAGCACAAAACAGTGCAGGATAGATTCAGAATTTGTTAAGTTGCTTATTGTGTGTAGATAATAACATAATAGAAGAAATAATATTTAGGCATATCTTATGCTTTCAAAACTCTTTACAGCCCTTTCCTCATCAGTTTTTGCATACTGACAAACTAGCTTTCAATAGAGAGATTGCCTTTTCTATTCCTTCCTCTTGGTTAGCCGTTTTCGGCGCAAACTCAAACACATAAAGCAGAAGAATCTAAAGTGTGATTGTAATGATATTAGAAAGATTATTTGCTTGTAATGAGTTCCGAGTTTCCATTCAGGATTGCAACTCTCGAAAAGCTATCTTTTTTCGGAGAGCTTGCTTCAAAATTTCTTGAGGTAGATTTTAGCTGTCTTTTCAACTAATAATGAAGAGCAAAGTAGAATTACAGTAACATAGTGCATAGTTTATCGTGTTTCTCTGAGCGTAGCATCTTCAAACATTCAAAAGAAGCTCTTTGGAGGCCATATGACGCAAAAGTAATGCTTCTGATTCTGGAGTTGCCTTTGGAGTTTGCTTGCTGAGAATGACAAGAGCTGAGTTGAAATAGTAGCAAGCTGAAACTTTCAGAGCCAAGCGTGCTTGTAATCATATTGCTCAGAAAACATGCAGAAATTTTCACTTATCAAATCAAGCATTATGACTTGTTCCATTCATGATAATCTTCTGACAGTAGGCTTGTGAGTTCTAACACCGTGGATCTGTCACTCAAATTTTATGTAAGCATTGCACTATTGAGCCTACTCATTATATCTTATCCTTAAGCTATGAACCGATGTAGGTGAGTATGTTCTTAATCCAAAAATATACTGCAGACTCGTCGTGCTCAGTTTAGCCCTGCGGGTCTAATAAATGACCCGCTCACTTTGTTTATGCATCGCTGCTTTTCTACTAAAAAGCTTATAGTTGACATACCAAATTATAAACTTTTTTCAAGAGTGCGTAATTTCACTTGACTAATCTGCATCAAAATCCATTGCCTGAAAATTTAGCAAATTTTTTCCTTGTACGAACAGGACATCAATACACTGAGAGCAGTCAGAGTAGAAGTTGAGTTAATATGTGTTCATCACTGCTAGGTTCTCATTTTGCAAAAATACCTCTGCGAATTCCCAAATAAAAGAAATAGGTAAAGTATCTTGTGTATCAGATGGCACTACATATTTGCCAAAATTAGGAGCAAATTAATGTCAGCTAGCTTCTGTTTTTTTTTGTCAAAGCTCACTGATAACTTTGACAAAGAAAATGCCGAGTCATCGAACAATTCTGCATTTCAATACTGTCAAAAATGTGGTACAAGTCCTAGTCAACTTCTATTTTTTTGCCAAACAGAAATCGTGCACGTGCGATCCCTTCTATATCTAAATTCCCAAATACTTGAAAAATAGGTAATGAAAATATGCCCGATTGCAACTAATTTTCAAAACTTTTTGTTTACTAAATTTGAAGGCATAAGTCTTCTGCGACTAAAGAATATTAGTTTTTGCTTCCAAGGAAGCTTGGAAATTTGTATGATTTTCTGCACATTTCAGGAATGAGCTGCGACAGATAGCCCCGTACCGATTATTCAAAAGGACACCACACATTATCGAAGCAAGGGGACTGAGTCAATTCAAGAACTGCTACTTTAGCCCGATTCAATGTGTGTTGATGGAACGCCGACGACGATAGGTCGATCTTCAGATGTGTCCAGCTGTGTCGTTTCACCTCTCTTTCAACCAATCCTTGATCTCATAAGATAACATGACCAATAAAATGTTGTATTTTTTCGCTTTGCTTTAAATCCTAAGATTTCTCTTCAAGATAAGTTTATATCCTGACTACAGCTGCAGCACCACCTACCACATCAAGCGCTGCACTTCGAGAGCAACACAAATCACCACCATCCACACCATTCCTCACCAATCCACACCTTCAACATCAATCATAGGTTCTAGCATTGAGAAATCTTCACTATTCGTTAATCCACTACTGCTGCAGCTTCACCGTCCACGCGCTTTAAGAGCAACGCAAAACACTACCATCCACACCAATTCTCACCATTCAACACATAGGATTTGGCTTGCAGATATTCGTTGATCATCATTACAGCTACGGCACTACCATCTTCATCGGCAGCAGCGCTCCAACCCAGCAACACAAATCACCACCATCCACACCAATCCTCACCGTTCAACACCAGTCATGATGTCTGGCTTAGAATCTCTGCTATTCGTTGACCATCACTACAGCTGCAGCATCACCACTCACGCCAAGCGCAACTTTCCAAGGCAACACAAAGCGCCACCATCCACACCAATCCCCACCATTCAACACCAATCGTAGGATTTGGCTTCATGCTACTTTCGCTATTCGTTGATCGAAGCGATTAAGCGAAGGAGCGTGGGAGTATGGCCACGGATCTCGCCTTTATGCCGAGAGTAGAATGCGTCAATCATTGATGTTCGTTGTGAGAAGTGGAAGTGAATTCTCAGCAATATGTATACGTTTGTTTGCGAAGAACCGGGGGGGGGGAGAGGAGGGAAAACACATCGGAGAGTTCCGATTATCTAAAAGGCTGCATAGAAGTAGTAATGGTCCAATCTCATAATAAATACTTGCTGTATGTAATATTTGGTGTTAAACACTGCTTTGAGCAGAATGTTCCGTAATTTATTGGTCCAATCTTGACCCTTTCCGAAAGTATTTTCTGCAGTTCTAATCTAACTTTTCTTATGCAAGTGCTCATATTGGTGGCAAAATCTACTCGGAGATGTGCGTTTTGAATAAGTACTAGATTAATTAGAAATTACCTTTGATAAGCTTAGTTTGTAACTAAATTGGAATTATGTCCGGATTCCGGTTCACTTGAGATGATTTTGGTATTGATATGTGAATGTGTGATCGAAGTGTGGGCTTTTAGAAGACTAAACTGATTAGACTCGCTGTTCTCTCGTTTGTCATTTTCGCCATCAATATCACTTGTTCTAAAAGTAACACACAAGGCATGGAAAGGCTGGAATCAATCACATTTCTTCGACACAGTTTTTCTGCGATTCAAGCATTCGATCCACTTCATTTCTTGTCTTCAGAATGTCGATGATTTTCTGTGCACTAGCTCGAATATCAGCAATGATCACGAACTCGTATTTCTCGCAGTTAATCTGTAGATTTCAAATTACTAAAAGTAATAAGGGCAAATGAAGCCTTTACATTGTCGTCACGCCCAAGTTCAACTGGACTGAATGCTCCAACATCGGTCATCACACCAATCTGGAATTTATCGTTGCAAAGAAATGTAGAAAAAGCATTGGGATAGTTTCTGGCTCACCAAGTACTTTCTACCACGTATGGAGCAATAAACGGGGCTGCCTGAGTCGCCCTAAATAACATCTCAAAAAACTAATCACTAAGCGAAATTGGCATTTACATTGCGAAGGAAATAGTGAAAATTTTAGTGTGTGTTCTGGCAATAAAATAAAAAAGGTATTTTTTTATTTTCAAAATAAGGCCTCCTTCACTCATTTCCACGGGGTAAGTGAAGGAAAAACATACAAAAAACTCGAAGTCTAGAATTATTGCTTGTTTTCAAACTTGCAAAAACTTTTCTGCGGTTTATGTGTGTTATTAGGTGCAGATGCACTCTTTTTCAAACCTTTCTAGCTGATAATGATTGGATATTTTGATTTAGATGGTATAAGCTTCGACCTTTTTGAAACGACCTCTTCTATACAAAGTACCTAAGAGCAAGCCGGTTTTGCGAACGCGACATTCGCCACATAAATTTGCAAGAGCTGCACTAACAATAAGTCTCACTGGTAAAAAATTACCCCAATGGGAATGGCACTCCACGCTGGTTTCGGATAGATATCTTCTTTGAGATAAGGGATACCAAACAAGAGTGGAAAAGAAGTTCTAGGTCAACATGTTTTTTGGATGATCACGTGGTCACGAGGCACTTTAAGAGGGAAAAGATTCTTTTTAGCAGCATAGGATTCGGAAAGTAACGATTTGGGGGGAGTATGTAAATTTTAGCTGACAAACTGTAAAAAATGAAAAAAGTGAGTACAAAGTGAAAATTAGTGAATTCTATAGGCATGAGCTTTATACACGGGATTTGCGTTGTTGCTTACAGAGATATTACGAAAAAATTTTTCTCGACGTACGTTTATTGGCGTTTATTGGTTCTTGGGTTTATCAGAAAGTTTTCGATCTCACCTGACAGGCTTTAGTAGAATTGACTGGATAACCTAATAACCCGATATAAATATCTCTTTCTACATGGAGGTAGATTCGTTGAGGTTTCGTCGCATATCCTTCATCTGCAGGAAAGAAAATGTCATGAGACTCACCACAGTAAATAGTGGAACGACGACTATTAGAAAATGTTGGCCAAAAGGAAAATAACGTGCCTTCTGTCATTCCCCATCCTAGGGCATAACACTCAGCCTTCTCTATCTCTTTATCAGTAATAGGCTTCTCCTTAGCTTTGAGCCCAGCCTAAAGGAATTTTATTACATTTTTCTGTGCAAAACAGACTAGAAAAAATGTTTCTACCTTCTGAAGGATCTGAGGAGGTAATCGCGCTACGTGCGGACCAGAAGAATTACGACATTTCCAGGTTTTAGGTATAAAAACGAAGCCAACGTCTTTATCACCGCGTACATTCTGAAAATGGTGAAATTCGAGAAATAATCTTTTGAACTGCAGATGATCCGGAAAGGAAGTGTAATCGTATATTTACGAGAATCAACGGCCGAAGATTGCATATGGATAAGAAAAGAGTAAATGTTGCGTACACGCCGCTGCAAGGGGAAAAAGCAACACTTGCGAGCAAAAAGTCTAGCAAATATTTTCGAATCTCTCAGTAGTAGCACGTGCGTGCGAAAATATTCATCTTTTGAACCGATTTTTCTGAACTACGCTAAAAACTCACGTCATCGAATCCGCTAAAAACTTCTATGAATTCCGAAGGCGCCAATTTTTTCTTCTCAGGAGCCTCTGGATGATAATCTATCATTGTTACATCGACCAGGGGACTACTGAAATCGCACTGTAATCACTTGTCAAAAATTAGATAGAAAATAGATAGCACGACTAAAAAATTAATAAAGGCATGAATTCGTTAATCGAGTGTAGGAAATAAAAAAATTAGATGCTGAATTTTTCTAGTGAAATACTGCTGGTGCCCTGATTAGGTTCCACCTTGCGACCATTTGCTTATTTCTCAAATTATTTATAAGCTACAGAATGCATGCAGTGGGCGTGTGTGTAGCTTAAGTCCAAACATTGTTTTCTCAGCTCCGACGATTGCGCCAAAACCCAAGTTATGCGTCATATAGACTAATTTTCTTTTAGTGCCTAGAATTTTTTTCTTAAATCTCCAGTTTTTCTACTGATAGCTTAGGTGAGAAATCGTGGACTATAAATTTTTTCATATTTTCTGTTTCAAACAAAATTCTTTGATATGTAGGTAAACTGTGGACTAGACGTGCATATTGGAGTGAAAGAATAGGGCCCTAGGAGAAAGCATGGGCACGTTCCAAAGACGGGGATTTTATTGCCACAGAAAAATTGAAAATGTTTGAGGAATTTTATGTAACAACTTTGCATTAATTAGAGATGCAAACTTTAAAAGCAAATTACAGCGAATCTGGAACATTGTATAGCAAATGTAAAACTGAGTTTATTTTTGGTGAGAAACGATGATTATTCAAGCCGAAGTGTGTGTATTACTGAAGCAAAAGATTTGTAGAACTAGTAGAAAACAAAGGCGGTCTAAGATACCCGCTATAATGCTGGTTCTTCTCCCGACTTGAGAGAAAACACTTTATCTCTCATAAAATTTTCACATTTTTAGTTTCTATAGATGGGAGAGTTAATAAGTAGGTTAGAAATAAATCCGAGGTTCAGAAGAAGTATTAAAACTGTGCAAAATATACCAAAAATGAAATTGCAGTTTTTAAATGACAAATCTCATAGTCACTAATTTCATCTAAAGTAGTTTGCTTACAGGAATGGAGCTTGTTAATTTAGTAGTAAAATAAATACTATGCAAGGGTTTTGGGATGTCATCGTTATTTCTAACCGCATCATTTGCAGACTTCAGTTAATATATAGGTATGCTAAATCAAGTAAATGCTCACTACTCCTTCTCCTCCATCACACAGTGAGCAGCGGTGAGCACAACTGTTTGCGATATCAAAACTCCTCCACAGACAGCGAACTCATCTGGAGCATAGAATGAAAATGTCGGTGAGAGCTTCACTAGGGATCGAGTTTCTGAAAAATTATGCAGTATTGGTGAAAATTGAAAACGTCACAGCGCTTACCCGAGGGACTAACAGAAAGCCCGTTGAGTATACCAAAGGTAACTTCAGGCAGCAAAAGAGCGACAACGAGTGTCCGGAGCATCTTCGCATTTGAAGTGAATCGTTTCTCTCCGTATGAGTCAGGCAAAATGTTGCGGTTTTGTACGAGAATGTCGTCAATGGTCAGTAGCAACACACGATGATCCTTCTTGGAACGAGATTTCTGCGGCATTTTTTTCTTCAGAAAATGGAATTTTAATAAATTTTATGCACGTTCATTAAGGATTTTTTGTAAAAAAATTTTATCACTTGATTTTAGAAAAATTGTAGATAACAGGACTATTAGTTTTACAGAAGAATCGCGCATCGACAAACTTACTAGTTTTACAGAAGAATTACGCACCGATAATGTTTGCTATGAAAGAAAGTGGAGAAGAGAGAACTATGCGTAAACGATGATTTTGCACATTCATGTTCTAATTGCTTTTCAGAAAGACTTGTGAGGCTATCCCAACTACCTGTTGTTTAGAGAGCTTGGTTGAACAAGAGCCTTGATAAATCAACGTTTCTTAAAGAAAAAGAGAGTTGTCTTGCTAGAAAAACGAGCTTCACCTGGACAAGGAAACCAAAAAACTACCTATGGCTACATTTTTTGACTCTGATGCTTGATCTCTGCTTCCATCCCATTCATTTTTATGCACATCAACATCCGACAAACACAACGCTAACTCAGACGTTTGATGCTTCAGAGGATCTTCCCCATCAAAAATACTCATCAAATATGCAAGAGCCGTTTTTGAAGAGCGAATATTTCGCAAGTGATTCTGCACTATAGTACGAATTGTGTGATCTCTGGATGAAAGTTTTGACAGAGGAATCGAGGCTAGAAATGGTCTTAGGACATAAATTGCAGATAGTGTTACCTAGTTCTGAGTAGCTGGCTAAACCAGCAAAAAACGTGGTGCTTAGGTAAATCGCAGATCTCTGATGTGATAGACTGAATTGCAAAATCCTGAATGAAATTCGTTAGCGATCTTGTGTATTTGTACCTTTTCCAGCCCTCCACATCTTCTGGTGATTGGCAGTCAAAGATGCTATATATGCTCAGTAAACATCATTTTCTAGTCCTCCATATCTTCTTTGGTGGTGATTGGCAGTCAAAGATGCTATATATGCTCGGTAAACATCATGCTTAAAATAGTTTAATAAATTTGAAATTTTTAACTAATTTTAATATAATTACTTATTTTGAAATAATCAAATTCATTGTGTTCACCAAAATTCTGGTAACACTCTTGCGGTGCTCTTGTACTTTCTTTCTTGCGAAATAATCTCAAATAATCAATAAAGCCTAAAAAGGAGTTTTGACTAGCTAATCTTTATTGGGTTCTATTATTTTTTGATGGGCAGCGAGGAATTAGAAAATTTGGTGATTGGTAAAGGAAGGTCTAAAAAGCTCTAAAATTAAAAAGGAACCTCGGGGCGCAGCCAACTCCTTTTGTGAGAGCGACCTTTCTTACATGTGGTTTGGCGGCATCATGGGTGAGGATGGCATCTCTCATTGCTTATACGTGCAAGTCCGCGCAGTTTTAAAATTTTGACATGACAAACGGTCTTCACAGCGATATCACACTACTCTGCTCTTACAGTACAATCGCATCTTAACAAGTTTATAGTGTGCAAGAGCAGCGGGATTACATTATGAGTAAATCTGCCTTTTGAAATGACTAATTGTTTATGACCATGTTCTAATGCTTATTCCAAATGATCTACCGCAATGTCGCTTCTTGTAGCCGTACTTGGCCAATTTTTTGCTGTAATTAATAATCGAGGACAAAAAAAGGATTGCTCCATTAAATTATGAGCAACGAAAGCAGAGTCAACACGCACTCGATCTGCTAGTGCGACAATGTGTGGGGTATGTATATGTCACTGACATTTTTCGGCTTTACAGCTTTAGCGAAGGTGGCTTCTAATGGGGCTATATGACACTTAAGGCCTGCTGATAATTTTACGCAGCTATATTAGAGATTTGCTCTAAAGGACCTTTTGAGGTGCTTGTTTATATGGGAGACACCTTCCAGAACACTGCAAAACAATAGCTTTCACTTCTCTAGATCTGATTTTTTTTTGAAGTAAAGAAGTGAAACCTAAACCTACCTCTAAAGAGACGTGCCTTGGAAAATGTATTGCGCACAATGATGGTTTCCTTAACTGTCTTACCCTCCAGTTTGAGCTTAGAAATGCAATTACTCGAAGATCGCGTTTTCATATGTCGAAATTAGAGCCGCGTAAACTTCCCCACAATGCGCTTTCTGCAACTTCGATGGGATCATCAGAAACTAGAAGACTTCCTCTACAGATCCATATATAGCAACCTCCATTAGCCCTCTGGCACTCTCTCAAGATATGGCACCAACATCAAAGGCTCAAAAAGCGAAAATACTTCCCGAATGACCTAATATTTTCATTGTCTACTCTCGAACTGAAGGCAATTGGGCATTCTATAAGGGAGATTCAGGGGGTTTATAAGGCTCCATTTTCCGGAAATAGTCCGTTTTAAATCAGTGCTTCCGGATTCACTGTTTATGTATTCATTGTGACTTTTTACTGTACTCGAATATGGCCCATTCAAATCAGCAGTTCAGAGAATACAGAAGGTCAAACGAACCAATAAATAACTTACTCTGTTACTCTGTTTAAGAGTAGTAACGAAACGAAGCTCAGCAATTTTCTCACCAAAGAATCAAATTATTTACTGTCATTCGTTGTAAATTTCCATAATTGAGTTCAAAAATTCTCCAATACAGTGCATGCGCTTTAGTCACTAGCTTTGGGACTTGAAACTCCAAGAACCATGCCCATTGCTCTAAAAGGATGGTTATACGTATTTACAGTCTAAGTCATTTTATGCAAGGCGTCCCAAAAGCAATGTCCCCACTTTTTAAACATAAATACCTCTACTGTCCTGATGTTTTGCGTCGACCAACCGCCTTAACTTAGATTTACATCTTTAGCATCTCACCGATCGTCCTTAGTTACTGTTACTTACTTAGTTACTTAGTTGGCCCGTCTTCACGTATCGTGCGGGCCGCAGCACAGCTTCCATCCATTCCTATCCCTCGCAAGCGTCAACCACGATGTTCGTATCGGTCGTTGGTGGCGAAGATCATGAGATCTAGGTGTAAAATTCGCTTCCAGTGGTTTTCAGCTGATCCATCCGTTCCACGAACAGATCTGCCCACCTGGTGGGGGGTCTTCCTCGAGGGCTTTACATCGCGAGGGATCCATTCCAGCGTTCTTAACGTCCATCTGTCATCTGTTCTTCCTGCAAGGTGACCGGCCCATCGGTACTTTACCTTCAAAACATACTCGACTGGGTCTCGTAGACGGGACATACTTCTTAAATCAGAACTGCGAAGTCCGACAAGATGTTGCGTACGTCGGTTAAACTTCAGAAGACTCCGCTCCATCGCTCTGTGGGTGGTACGAAGAGCTTTCGACGTGGCAGCAGTGTCACCCACGTCTCGGCTGCGTAGCAGAGTGCTAGGAGAACGGTTGAATCGAACAGATGAGCTCGGAGCGCAGGGTCCGTTAGTTGGTCGGTGGCTTCTTGTAAAGGCCCGTAAGCGGCCCAAGCTGCTCTTCGCCTTCCGTTAAGTTCTTCTTTCAAGTCGTTCTGCATGTTCATTGAACGTCCTAGATACACGTAAGAAGAGGTCTCCGTGGTTGGGGAACCTTCCAGCTTCAATTCCGTATCCTCAATTAAGCCGTTTTTCATGAACTGAGTCTTCTTCCGATTGATTCGCAGTCCAATCGTCTTCCCTACTTCGTTCAATTCCTTTAACATCGTCTCGGCTTCATTGATACTGCTCGAAAAGAGAACGATGTCGTCCGCGAAACGAAGATTCGAGAGGAATCTCCCATCAACTCGTATACCTCTCTCATTCCAGTTTAGTGATTTCATACCCACTGCAAAGCCGCCGTGAACAGCTTCGGCGATATGGTATCGCCTTGTCGGACCCCCTTCCCTATTGGTACGGTCAGGGGGCGATGGAACAGCTGTAGAGTTGTAGTGCAGTCCTTGTAGCAGTTGGCTATTATCCTCACATATGACGGATCCACTTGATCGACTAGCGCTGACAGGATGGCGTTGAACTCGACGCTGTCGAAGGCTTTTTCGTAGTCGACGAAGGTTAGGACGAGAGGCAGTCGGTACTCCCGGCAGACTTCTATGACCCTCGAAACGGTCTGGATGTGGTCCATGCAGCTGAATCCCTTGCGAAATCCAGTTTGTTCTTGAGGTTGGGCTTCATCCAGTGTCCTTGAGATGCGAGTGAGAATAATCTTGGTGAAAAGCTTATACAGCACGCTCAACAGCATATCGGACGATAGTTTCAGATCTTCCCATTCGCCCTTCTTGAAGAGAAGAACGGTTCTTGACGTTCTCCAATGATCGGGAATCCTTTCCTTCTGGGGATAAGATGTTAGGTGCGCCGCCAGAATCTCGTGTAGACGGTGTCCTCCAGCTCTCAGCAGGTCCACGGAAAGACGGTCTGGTCCTGGAGCTGTGGACGTCTTCATGGTCTGGATCGCGACGAGTACTTCAGCAGGGAGAATTCGTGATGGTATGTCTCCAGTCAGCGGAACAGCGGGGTCTGGCACGGGTGTTGATGAGCGGAAGAGGTTGGTATAGAAACTCTTCGCGATCGATTCCATTTCTCGGCGGGAAGTTGTTGGTATCCCATTTTCGTTTAACAACGCTCCCAGTGGTATTAGTAGTCGCAGAGGTCCCTTCGGCATCTCTTCAGACTTCGTCTTTGTTCAGCGGCTTCCAAAATCCTCCTTTGCCTGTACTTTCGTAGATCCTCCTGCAATGCCGTTCTGCCGCTGGTATTTGCCACCAACCGCTCGAGGTGAGATGCATTCGGATCTAGCCTCAAAGATCTTCTTCTTTCGAGCGATTCCTTGGTGGTGCTTGAGATGCGATCCAAGTTCCTTGAACGAGTTGTTGAGGCGCAATAACAGGCTTCCAATCCTTTGAGAAGCAGCTCGTAGTCCTTCGTTGGGTCCTCCTCGATGGGCCACTCACAACATGATAAGAGCTCCTCCAACCTTTGACGGTCGTAAACGACATCCTTCCTTCGTGGACTGCAATGACAGATCTTCCTTTCCAGCTTTCGATGAATCGTACCTTCGCTTGTAGGAGGCGTTATCAGAACCACTGCAGAAAGATGGCACTACCGATACGTCAAGTAGACACCTCTTCGGTTGGAGTATGTGGTCAATCTCCGCATGTGTCGTTCCATTGGGTGACTCCCATGTCCATCGTCGTTGTTCTTTCTTCATGAAAAGTGAGTTCCCATGAAACAGTCGTGCGGCGGATAAGATTCCAATAAGACGGTTGCCGTTATCGTTGCGGAGCCCAAATCCAAATTTCCCGATCCTATACTCCTCTTCTAGTTTCATCCCGATTTTAGCGTTAAAGTCACCCACAACAAACTTATAGAAGGACTTCTCGTTGCGGACGACCTCCTCTACATGCTCGTAAGAAGCATCCAATTCCGAATCATCAGTTGCTGATGTTGGAGAATAGCAGTTGGTGATGCTGATGGTCTTCTGGTGTGGAGGGTATAGACGAAGGATGGCCAGTCGGGGAGACAGGATCTCATGCGAATCGACGAGATGGACGATCGTTGGGTGGACAACAAAGCCGACGCCTCCCACGTTCCGCGACGTAACTTTTTCACCACGAATGACGAGGGTCCCATCGCTCAACTGTCGCACGTCTTGCTTCCTGGACTTCGTTTCCTGCAGGGCGACGACGTGGTACTTGATGTGATTTACGGCGTGGAGAAGAGCGTGAAGGTCGGCGTCTGTGGAGACTGTTCTGGCGTTGTAAGTGCAGAACCTGAAGCAGTCTCCATGGCGGGTCGTCGCAGGTGTGCTGTTTTTGTCCAATCCAAATGGCGCCCTGAGCAACCTGCCACCAGCCTTGTTTCCTTCCGGCGCCTTAGTCGGGGTCTGATGACAGGGCTTTATTCCTTTACTTGCTGCTCGAGTTTCAAATTTTTTCCCCGGCAATGAACCGACTTACCAGGCCTGCTCAGGCCTTCCACATTCAGGCGATCGCTGATCATCATTATGTGGAGGGGGACCCGCCTAACGACCTATTAGTCAGACGGTGGAAGCTGACCCGGTTCGCTCTTAGCTGGGCGTCTGGGAGCCAGAGTTAAACTACCTGTCAAGCTACCTGCAGCCAGAGTTAAACTCTGGCTGCAGGTAGCTTGACATCCTGGGCCACCCTCACGCCACTTTGAGGCGGCGAACCATCGTGGGGGAGTTAGTTACTGTAGGATTTATTAATAGAAAAAAAAACGGTTCCGCACCGTTGTAATTTGAATTTTCCCCCAAACAAAACTCCAGACAAGTTCAAAAGCAAGGTTGAATGAAGATTTCTAAAATGAGCATTGAGCGTAGTCCTTTCTATAAATGTCAGCCTAGGAAACCTGTACAATGTAGTTTACACAATTAGCGCCTAAAAAACGCACACAATAAGTTTCGGGTTGTGAAATTTCCATGAATCTGCAGCTAATATAGGAACGCAGTTGTGCGCTGCGGATATCTTACAGTAACAAAATGCCATATAATCTAGAATAACTAAACAGCTCTAAATTTGATTTATGGAACATCTTATTTATCTTTTGAGTTCTGACATTAGTAGGGTCCTGCACTTCAGTCAAGCAAACACGCGAAATTTTTTAGAGTTCTATTCTGTCGTTTTTAGCACAGATGTTCTTCTAACGAGAATATAACTTGATTTTCGCTTTTCTGTTATGAACCACTAGGAAGCAGATGTTAACAGCCAGACGGTGTTTACAGTGGCACTCTTGTACTAAAAAGTGTTTCAGAAAATACTAATTATTGGTGACTGAAATCATAGGTTTCGGGATCAGGTCTACTAACGTATGTGGTACGCCGTAGCCATAGATCGTCGCCATTAATAATCGCAACTTCAGCTTTGATTGAGCATGTTTGTTGATTAGCGGACTTTTCCAGCTGCTCGGGAATATGAAACATTAACGTCTCAGTGCTGTCGAAGTGGAACTAGATGGGAGCTCCGACGTTTCTGGCCCAGAGCGTTCCTCGGTGCTTTATTTCATACTCAGACGATATTTAACTTGAAATGTCTTTTGAGATAAATTATTCATTAAATTCTTGTCCATGCGACTGTAAGCTATTTCATCCATAAAGTTTTAGTGTAGATATGTCATATCTGTCAAAACAACTTCGACCATAGCATCCACCTACATGTAATAATGCTCATTCTCAAAAACAGTTGCTAACTGCTACTTGATGCCTATTATCTCGGTTCACTTAGTTCTGACAAAAATTACGCAGTGTAGACAAATCATAGCAATGTCGCGCTGCTAAATACTATTTAGCAGAAGAGCCTTTAATTACAAAGAACAATTTCCTAGTCTTACTTCCGCATAATGATGCGTAAAAACTATGATTGTACGCTTGTCAGTCTAGAAGCCAAAAGATCTCTGAAAATTTCATGGTGACAAACTTTGTCTTCTTCTTTTGTTTTTGGCTTCTTAGATGGAAACTAGCAATTTACAAGACAGTTCACAATTTTCTAATTCATATGGGTATTACTGAGTGTAGACGTGGCTACAATGTTGGCGATGGTGCTATGTGCCGCCCTCCTTTTTCTTAGGAACTTTTTATTTGTTTTTCTAGATTTTTACATAGAACCTTTTTTTCGAATATCAAACTGTTTCTTTCAGACATTAAATTTTTTGCTATCGTACATCATTGGAAGTTCAAAAATCTGTTTCTGTTCGTACTACACACTGCTCTCCAAAGAATTGCAAATAAAGCCGTCATTGCTGACAATAAGTGAGAGTTGTAGCTGAGATTAGGTATATTAGTATTATAATTTAGCGCAACCAATTCCGTGAGAAGCCTTTCATTACCTAATAGCCTCGTTACAGAGACTAGTAACGAGCTGTTAACTCTTACTTCCTGTTCTCAGTAAAAAGTCCGTTTCGAATAGCTGCGGCAATGAAAGCTCAACTTTTATCAAATATAACAAGATTTCAGCGAAAAAAGATCTGTTTCAAGCGAAGATTTTTCGATACTACTAGAATTTTGCTTGAATTTGTTTTACTAATTATAAACGCGTTCAAGACATAGTCAGGGAACACCTAACACTACATAGGCGGCTAGTGAAAAATGCAAAGAACCAAGTTCCCCTTGACTTCCGCAATTTTTACGAAGTCCCATTTGACTCTGAACCCTAATCGTATGAAACCCTCAAAAAAAGAAACGTCGAGTAAAAGATGAATCCACAATTTTTGTGCCTTTTCGGTCCCAAAAACGAAACCACCTTTGCGTTTTGCCCCAAAAACGGTATCCACCTTGTTTACAAGCCACCTGTGCCGAGCCCTGGAATATAGCATTCAAGATCCGATAAATTGATTCCTCATTGGTCATTTTTGGCATAAGGACCGCTCTGATTGGTCATATGCTTTTGGATTGAAATAATCTTTCATAACGTGGAAAAAAGTTGTTAAAGCTTGAGTATCTTCAGAATACAATTTTTACTGCCAGTATCTAAGGTTTTTTCTGGAAGTTATAACTGTTTTTGGAAAAAAGTAGTCACTTGCTATGAGAGGTATTATAATGGGGAAAAACACTCAAAGGAAGGGGGACAAATTTGTAAACAGTAATTATAACAATGCTAAGTATTTAGTCGACTATTCCTAAAACAAGCGTGATTAACGTCGCTGTTTTTATTCACTACCGCTTATACCAAATCTTGTAAGTAACTAGCGTTTGTTGAGCAAATAAAAAGTCCCAATTTTTATCATTTTACTTTTTGGGAGATTTCCCGGCGCCCGCGGCTTCCTAATTCAATTTGAGTCAATTTTTCAGCATTTTTATCGTTGTTTCAGATATGCTTCTGCCATTGTACCACATCTATATCACTTGCTTTTTCGTTGTCGTATCTATAGTCTTCAATTCCGTGCTTATTTTCATCATCATGAAATTTACTTCACGAGAGATTGGCAATTACAAATACATAATGCTAAGCTATGCTATATTCAATGTTATGTATTCAATTGTGCACTTTACACTGTTACCGGTAAGTCAACTTGGAATTTTTTCTTGAATATAAGAAGATGCAAAGAAAATTTGAAATTTTTCAGGCTATCCATATCCACGATCGTTCGTTTCTCGTCTTTACCACTAGATTCGAACATTTACCAACAAATATAGGTCGTATATTGACTGGGCTCTACACCTCAATGTTTGCACAATCTATGTTTTTCTTAGCAATACATTTTGGATACAGATATCTGCATATTGCCAAGTAAGGACTTTATTTTTACTTTTTGTTAGCAAAGAAATACAGGGGTAAATCTCTGCCCGTTCGCAAGTTTTGGAGCGACTCTTTTCCTACATCTGCTGCGATATCTTTCAGATTGTCTAACAAAGTTTTACGATTATTGAAAGCATAGTTAGTCGAAGTACATCAAATACTTATGAAATTGCATTAAAATTACTTTCCAAGAATGATTAGTTCGCAGAACCAAGAAATCAAAGGTATTAGGAAGACCTTCCATGTTGCAAGTTCCGTTCTAAACTCCAGCCCCTACTTTTTTAAACGGACCAATACTCGAGTACGGTATGGGCGACAATTCAAAGTTGCATTATTCTCCCACGAGTGAAACGAGCTACCCATGTATTGAGACCAGATTGCATATGAGAAATTTCGGTTCCAAACTTGAATAAATACTGCCTTCAAAATAAAATAAATGAATGTGCAAGGCTTTAGGTTGAGGTCCACTAGGTGGAAAAATTGTTTCCTCCTCATTCTAACAAACTTTCTTCGGTGGCATCTATGTAATGGCTGGAGAAATTTCAGGGCTCACTTACTCGAAAGACTTCAATGCAGCTGGCGCTTATTGCTGTTGATCCTTGTATATCTTTTGGTAGCTTTTCACTATGGTTTAACGTGCCTTTATTTCTTTGGACCATCACAAGAAAAAAACGCACTTTTTGATGCTGAGATGGTCCAAGATTATGGTGTCAGTATTGAGAAGATACCGTATATAGCAGCTCTTGCCATGGTAAGATTAATATCGGCTTGCGTCCTTGGGGATTTTCTGATATTTCGTTATTTAGCTCAACGTCTCATCTCATCTTGAACTGCAATTTAAGGACCTCATAGGAATTGTTAATGTTTCTGCTGTGATAATCGGAATGCTAGTGGTCATGGTCTACTGTGGAATAAGTATGTTGAAATTGAAAATTCTGATAAAAAAAATTCAAAAGAAAGTATTTTCAGAAACTTTCGTCGCTTTGGATCGAATTCAGCGCCAAAGGGTGAAGCTTATCCATAAGCAGCTGTTGAAGGCGCTTATATTGCAGGTGTGGTTATTTTCAGCAAATTTTATTCATATAAAATATGAATAATTTTACAATAAAATGCATTTTCAGACTCTCCTACCGGTACTTTTTGTATTCATACCTGCGATATGTGTTATAACTTTTTCATTGTTTGAAATTCGGATAGGTGAATCAAATTTTTCTGCGTTTCTTCCATAAAAAAATTAAAGTCTTTTTTAGGCAGCCATGCAAACATCGTAACCATTTTACTGGCTATATGTCCAGCTTTGGACCCCTTTATATTGGTGTACTTTGTTCGAAGCTATAGAAATCAGGTTCTAAAGTAAGTTCAACGTTAAATATGCAAAAATTCACTTGTCTAATCTCAAGATAAGCGAAGGGTCGAGCGATAAATATGATATTAGGATATATTCTTCTTGAATTTTTGATGTCATCGTTCCTTCTCGCGTTCTGCGTAATCTCCAAAAAAGTCAAAATATTTTTTCTTTAGAATACCCCTATGGAAAATTGAGACTTTCATCTTCGTTAGGTCAATGTAAAAGAAAGTAAATCCTTGAAAATTTTCTTCGTACTTAATTGAAAATATCTCCGTTTTGCAAAAGCTGCAGTGCGAATTTAGTTTGCACTGGAGCTTTTGCAAAATTTTGCAGAAACAGTGTGTATATAAAAGCAAACAGCCGGAAATTATTAGCAAATTAGATTTGAGTCTCAGTTCTGTGTAGGATAAACAGTCATTAAAATGGACCGTTACAAAGATTTGCAATAACAATTATAAAGCTTTATGTGAGGACGGAAAATATGACATAAAAAAGCGTAAAAATTATTATTTTTCACATGCATAGGCTTGGTAGACTCAAATACATGATACTGAGTAAACAAGGAGTGAATACATAGATTCTGTTGCAGGTACTTCCGACTACTTGCCTTCGTCTTTCCATATCCACGTTCCACAGAAACCGCCAAGGTCGATTTGATATACTCGATTAATGGACGGCCAAGAGGAAGAGCGATTTCTGAATTCTGACAATTTGTTCCCAATATGTACGTGTTTTCTCGCGGTTCAGTAACATGCGGGTTTTTCTTCATTGATCATTGATGTGTGATTTTTTTTGTGTATCCAAATGCTATAGTAAAACACTGTTTGATGAGATGAAAATGTACAAAAAAATGATTCTAGGAACTGTGCAAAGTCAGGGAAGAGATTGGTAAGGAGCAAACCATAAATTCTAAAGTTCATCTTCGGCGAACAATAATGTGTGCATATATACAAAGTATGAGCAAGTATGGTTCATTTGTAAAATCGTGACGACGGGTTTTGCTGCGGACTTTGCGCCCATAGGAGCATAAAACGCGTATACAAGAAGGCATCACTTCAGCGTTCAGCTCAGCCACTTCCAGTGTCTAAATTTTATCATACGTAAGACAAAACCATTCGACTAAAGACGAAAGTCAAGAAAATGCGACTTCCGAAAGCGGCGTGCGTGTCGCGCGCGGCCGCGCCATCGTCACGATTTTTCAAATGCCCTATACTTGCTGCAGTAAACGTTGAAAAAACATGGTACAGTGCGACCAGAAAATCGATATATTGATCGTATGATGCTAAAGGCCCAATACAAAGTTAGGTCAGCCGTAAATTCCTTCTACAATCAAACTTTCCCATACAATGTTGCCATGCTCAAAAAGAAGGGAAATATTAAGACGACAATGTCTTCAAAGTATTGCCTCGACTTCATGGAGAGATAGAGGTCCGCACAATAATTAATGCCCACAGGTAAGTATGAACACTACTACCCTAGAAAAAAATTTTTTGGTCACTGTCTAAAATATGCATTTTTCTCTTTTCCTCATCCTCTTTTTCGCTCTTTTTTGCATGGAAGAAAACAAAAAACCTCTATGATTCGACTACAATAAGTATCACTGGCTCTTTTCCAATTTTTTTTCAGAGATTACCATTCAAATACCGATATGATTACTTAAAAGAACTAATGTTTTTTTCCTTTTTTTTACAAGAAACTATTAAATCTGTCTGACACATGATTGCGTTCTCGATCGCAGCAAAAGCGCCTTCGACTTTAGAAAAATCACTTTAATGTCAGGAGAATCACAGTCTTTTTGAAGGTGTCCGAAAGAAGGAATATCGTAGAAACTTATCAGCTTCCTTGTAGATTCGCTCTCCTCCTCATTGCAGTAATCCTTTCTCTTATGTGTAGTTGCTTGTTTATTGCTTTGATACACTCGCGGATGGACTAGAAAGCCCAATCTCCTTCCGAGCTAAAACGCTTCTTAAAAGCTTTGGATTCTCCTTTTTCGAAGGTGTAGATGTTGGGCGCTATTCCAGTATCCGGGCCCCAAAATTTTTTTGACATGGATTTTGCTGAAACTTGCCCCAGGGGGGTTATTCCGTCCGCTGATGCTGGATATTACATTGGTTTTGTACCATAGCGTCATTTCTCGGCTTAGGGTAGGTTTACGGTAGGGGTCAAAATCACAAATCGGCAAATGTATCTTTCCCCTGTGCTTTGCTTAGGCAAAAGCCGCAGCAGAGTGTGTAGCGCGCGGTGGTGGTAGTATGTGCAAAGCTTCACGATCGCCCAAATCGCCGTACACCCGTTTCAGGAAGAACTATATTTTTCACCCGTTACCATATACCTGCCATAACCCGAGAAAATGAAGATACGGCAGGAAACCAGTGAGATATTCGGCGTCAGCGGGCCGAATAACCCCCGTGAGTCAAGTTTCAGCCAATTCTGGGATTTTGACCCCTTACCGCGTACCTACCGTAACCCGGGAAAATGACGCTACGGTACAAAACCAATGTGATATTTGGCATCAGCGGCCCGAATAACCCATCTGGGCCAAGTTTCAGCAAAATCGATGCGAAAAAAATTTTGGGGCCCGGATACTGGAATAGCGCCACGTCTTGTTCAGACAACATCTTGAATCAAAAATGTGTTTTCTGGCTGACACTTATATCTAATTCTATGTGCAGAATAAATGTAAACGAGGCGCATCACAGTAGTGAAAGAAAACTTGCTTTTCTACTCACTCTAGAGCACGAGGATGCTCCAAAAATATTTGGATTCTGGATAAAATTCTCCAAACGTCGGTTAATATCTAATGGGATCTGGGTATCACCCAAAACAACTTCCTTGAGCATTTCAGACATTGTCAGGACAGCTTTTCCACTCCTTCACTCCACAGTTTAACAGTGTAAGTTTCTTTCAGGTCGAACATCTCACACGGACTTAGCAGACACTGATTCTAACACTATTGTCCAAGCTAGTCATTTTAACACTATTGTCCAAGCGGCTCCATGTCAGGAGTCACGCCGCGTGCCGCGCCGCTTCGCCGCGCACGTCGCGTCTAAATTTTGTACCCCATAAAACTGCCCGTGCTAAAGTGGCACGGCGACAGTCTAGGGGGGGGGGGTGGGGGATGGGGGCAGATAGAGCAGAAGCCAGCACTCCTGGCGCAGTCTTACTTATGGCTCGTGCCATAAGTAAGACTGCGCCAGGAGTGCTGGCTTCTGTTTTGCTGACATCGCTTGCGGCATCGCTTCGCGAAAAATTCGCCCCGACCGTGACTCCTGACCGTTTCCCCTCGTAAGCGGCGCCAAACGTTCCGTGTAAGGTCGGTGAGTCAGCTTGTGTGCGGTGTTGACTGTGATTGATCGGCTGCCACGCGGGGCTTACGCACAGCGAGTTCACCTCAAACTTGGGTAATTAAACTTTATTACAAAAATACGACTAACACCTACAAAACGGGTACGATATTGAAACACTGATGATAAACAAACAAACAAACAAATAAACACTGATATGTTGAATATACGTGATCCAAAGACCCTGTGAATAGCTGTGAGGGATCTGTGAGAGGGCTTCGAATCCGTGAACTATGAGATAGTGACAAAGGAACTGTGAGAAGAACAAAGAAACAATTGAAAGATGAGATACAAACCGTAAAATCATAACCAGCGCTCGCTAAACTATGCCAGCCATTTATATATGTAAGCGAATATAAACAAAACACCAGTAAGCATGAGAATATCACAGATAAGCTAACTGCTAACAAAACAATAGATACGAGCCTGTGAGAAACTTCGCGCTTCTGTCGTTGTTAGTCATGCGGAATTCTTCGGGCGCAAAGTACAATACGAACTTGGAGAGTTCGTATACTCCGGCCTCAGCAGACGAGTGGAGTAACACCGTTGATGGTGAAGTAGTCGTTGAGGTAGTCGTTGACTTTGACTTCCGTGTCGCTGCTCGTAGCTCTGCTTCTTTTTGGCGGATTCTTTCCTTGGTTGGCATTATATCGACTTGCTTTGTATCCTTGCTTGTCAATCTCCCGTGGCGCATGAGTTGACCGTCGTCGCAGTCCGGATCCACCAGGATCTCCCATAACAGCTTCCCTTGTGGCTTTCTGTGGTGATTCGTCTATCTGGACTGTGGGAGTGGTCTTCCTCCTGTGGGTTGATGTAGGTCGTGCCGCATCCCTGGGGAGTACGATATTGCCTTCGTTCAGCGACTTCTTCAGTCCTGCTGTGCTGTATCGGATTCTTTGCTGCTGTCGTGAGCGCCATCGGGAATCGGATCCCACTTCCATGTCTGTGAGCATCGTCTTGAAACCATTGAAAGCCATGGCGAGCACTCCGAGCGAGTAGTATAGCGTTTTCCAGATGCAGCGCATAATCCTCTCGTAAAACGCACTCTGCCACGGTGCGCAAAGAGTAATGTGACTCCATCCTCCTTTTCGCCGTGCTACATCGCTTCCGAACTGTGTGCTGTGTACCATGTTTTCTATGGGTTCTCCAAGAGTTTGCTCACGCGCCAAACCCGTTTGTCTGTTCTTGGCAATCGTCCGCAATAGTTTCACTTGTCTTGTAAGTCTCTGAGTTTTATCCACTGTGCTATCCTTGGGGCGCTTAAGGACTTGTCTCTGGACGCTGTGTTTCTTGTCGAAATTGCCATCTACGTTGGTGTGCGTTGCTCCGTGCTTCGAAGGGCGCGTAAATTGATACGAATGGAGTTCGTATACTCCGGCGTGTCCAGCGAAGAAGCGCTGAGCTGGTTCCAATCTTTCCGGTTTGAGCCATGTTTGGGTTCCTCGTGCCAACGTTTGTTCTCTCTGACCATTCGAAGAACTCAGTTTGCGCTCTTTTGTATTCTGTGTTTCGGATATCATTGCGTTGTTTCCTCGCCATTTAGTGCTCTTCTTTTGCAAGCTAGGTGCTGTGTTCGACCTCCTTTGCGCAGTCGTAAGGGATCTTCTCCAGTGTCTGCGATTCTTGACATGTCCTTCCCTCACTTTGTCCTCTGGCTGGGTAGTCCTTGCTGGGGTTTGATGCTCCGTGTGAGTATTTACGCTTTGTGCCTTCTCGTGATGCCTTTTGATTTCTTCTCGGATGGTTGTGAATCCGTTCTCCATTTCCCGCATAAGGGTCTCGAAATGCTGATTCATGATTTGCATCCAGTCTCGAGCTTCCTGATGATGTGGTTTGGGGTCAGAGTCTTCCCACAATTTCTGCATCGTTGTTTCTTCTGGGTGCAAAGGGGCGGCAGTATGTCTCTGCCGTAACAGTAGAGTTGTAGCAGTTTCTGGTCCAAAGGTTCTTGAAGCTCCTTCATCAAGGGGAGAAGAGTCCTGTGCAATTTCTGCCTTCGTAGAACTGGTCACTGCATGCTGATTTGATTTGTCGGTACTCTCTGGTTCTTGTGGCGTGCTTTCCGTGCATATTGCAGTGTGGTGCCTTCTACGACAATTTCTACAGTTGCCGCTCGAGCATGACGCTACTCTGTGATTAGTAGATCCGCAGTTTAAGCATCTGCTGGAATTTAGAAGAAACGTTTTCTTTTGTGCTGCTGTGGGGATGGCTGGGCAAAACGTCCATCTGTGACCGCTTCTTCCACAGCATTCGCAAGCTGATTCCCATCTGTCGTTCCGTTTTGGAGAGCAACTCCTTAGGTGTCCTTTGACTGGGAGTATATCGTTTAGTTGCTCTTCCTGCGAGATGACGTTATCAATGGCATCAAGCCATTGGTTCAAGGTCCACTCGGACTGGTGCTGTTCTTGGTGTCTCAGTCTTCTTTCCATAGCCGCTTTCCTTATGCGCGGGTAAAACTTTCCAAGAAAGATCTGGATCGTTAATTGATTATCAAGACGTTGGCCGTGTTCTTCTAGTTGTGCGGCTATCGTTGACAATTCGTCCCATAACCGTCGCTGATCTGTCGTACTAGGTCCCTTTGCTACACAGTTGTGCAGGCTTCTATTCAACTCTAAGACGATGCCGTCCTTATTGCCATACCTCTTGACGAGGTGTTGGATTGCCTTGTCGTAATTATTTGCTGAGACGAAGAATCGTGAGATCGATTGTTTCGCTTCTCCACTCAGGGATGCCAGCAAATAATTGAACTTCTGCAACTGTGACAGCTTCTGATCATGGACATTGGCTTTGTATAGGGCCCAGATGTTATCCCATTCCCATTTTCTTCCTGTGAATGTAGGGATTGGGATTACCGGGAGTCTACCGACTGCAGATGGGCTTGACCGGTCATCTGCTTCTATCCCGATGTCTTCTAGAGTCTCTTCTAGCTGTGTCCTGTGATCGTGCAGCTTCATTATCGTTGCCTGGGTTTTTTCTATGTACTTATCCAGGTGATCTTCCTCCTCTTCTGTGGTCTCTGGAGCTTCATCAAAAGCCTTCGTTAGCTTTGTCAGTGATGTCTCAAGAAGCTCAATGTATCTCTCACAGGTTTTTATCCTCCTTGCGCTTTCCTTGGCTTGTATGTCTGCGAGCGCTTGGGTGGAGTCCTGTAGCCAGTTTACCGCTGCGTCGTTCCTTTTAGTAACAAGTCCTTTTAGTGATCTTACAGTACTGCTCATTGTTAGTTGAGTTAGTGTTGTAAGATACTGCGATGGCTATGCGGAAACTGTGATTTTTACTGTGAGGGATCTGTGAGATCTGTGAGATAGCTGTGAGGCAAATTTCTCCGTGACTCGCTGTGCAAACTGTGCTAACTGTGAAGTGAGTAACGTGCAGCTTATTAGTTGGAAGCGTTACTCGTTAGCAAGAAATCGTACCTCAATTCGGCCGATGCACCACTTGTAAGATCGGTGAGTCAGCTTGTGTGCGGTGTTGACTGTGATTGATCGGCTGCCACGCGGGGCTTACGCACAGCGAGTTCACCTCAAACTTGGGTAATTAAACTTTATTACAAAAATACGACTAACACCTACACAACGGGTACGATATTGAAACACTGATGATAAACAAACAAACAAACAAATAAACACTGATATGTTGAATATACGTGATCCAAAGACCCTGTGAATAGCTGTGAGGGATCTGTGAGAGGGCTTCGAATCCGTGAACTATGAGATAGTGACAAAGGAACTGTGAGAAGAACAAAGAAACAATTGAAAGATGAGATACAAACCGTAAAATCATAACCAGCGCTCGCTAAACTATGCCAGCCATTTATATATGTAAGCGAATATAAACAAAACACCAGTAAGCATGAGAATATTACAGATAAGCTAACTGCTAACAAAACAATAGATACGAGCCTGTGAGAAACTTCGCGCTTCTGTCGTTGTTAGTCATGCGGAATTCTTCGGGCGCAAAGTACAATACGAACTTGGAGAGTTCGTTCCGGTTCAACCGGTTCATCCTGATTCATCCATTCGCTATGGGCAACTTGGTTTTGACCAACAGCGAAGGAGTGAACACCGACCGAACAGAACAACTCTGACGCCTACCATAGATAGGTGCCAGACTAAGCGATTATTTTGTTCAGCTGCAAAAGGCGCACAGAATTAACGTTAATTCTGCGCCGGACCCGCAGCTGAAGCAGACCTTAGGCACCCGCCATACTTGATCCGCTTGATCCTCTTCATCATTGGTCAATTCAGTGAACTGACCAATAGTGAAGTGGATGAAGTGGATCAAGCGGACAACCGCTTCGCTATTGCTCTATTCACTGAATCGACCAATGACGAAGCGGATCAAGCGGATCAAGTATGGCGGGTGCCTTAGCAGCAGCAGACATTATGCAGCAGACATTAATTCTGCGCGCCTTTTGCAGCTGAACAAAATACTCGCTTAATCTGGCACCTATGGTAGGTGCCAGAGTAAGCGAATATTTTGTTCAAGTTGGGGTCCTGCGCAGAACTGGCATCACTAATCATTGTGGCATAATGCCAACTTGGCGTTGTGCCACAATGATTAGTAACGCCAGTTCTGCGCGGGACCCCAACTTGAACAAAATATTCGCTTACTCTGGCACCTACCTATCATAGGGCACCACGATATGAGGCGTACTTCCCACTACGTCCGCAACTACGTCCGCATAAATACGATTTTCGCCCTCATGGCTTGTTTGAAAATTCGCATTCATTTGTATTGTTTTCGTGCTAGTAATGTCTGAATCGAACCCAAGTTTCAGGCGGCATATGACCTCTGCCATTCGATCATCATCATCATTGTCTAGTCGTCGTACGTTGTCAGCTTTGGCAACATGCACATCACTTTCTCAAGCAATAAATAGCATCGACAACAGTAAACCGGCAGTCATCCTTGATTTGGGAAGGAGAACAACTAAGTAAGCGATTACTTTTTTGCTTTGATTTTATCTTGATTTTTATACGACTTCTTTCCATTTTTGGATGTCCTTCACTATCACGGCTATGTCAACAGTTTGTGATTTCCTTTCAGAGCTTTTTTTGCGTATTAGGAAGCTTTAATTGATCTAATATCATTGTTGCATTGTCATAAATATCGTTACAATTGAACTATGACTATAGAGTCGGATTCGCTGGCGAGTTCGTGCCGCGCGCTATCATCCATTCAAATTTTTTGGATGGGTCGTTGTACGAGCAGAAAGGATCATCGTTGGACGGTGAAAGTCCATCACTCGGTCCCACCCTGTCAGCCATGGTCAGATTTTTCCGCAATATATTTAACAGGTAAAGAAGTAGCTAGCTGCACCGATCTTAATCGATAGTACATTTTAGTTACCTTCTTACAATGCCGCGCGAACGACGAGTAGTGATTGTCGAGAGTTTGCTCACGCCAACCCGTATAAGGGAGATGATTTGTGAGGTATGTTTGACTTAGTATTTGCTATGATAGTTCATAACGATCAGAATTCTGACGATGTTTCATTCACGTGGAGGCATTGAATCGAGTCATTTCGGTTTTTGTTCGATTCTTTCTATGTAGGAACAGAGAATTACGCAAAGCGATATGCGTAACGCATCTACGTAATGCGAGTAGTATGTAGGATCAGAAAATGTACCCTTTGTCCCAAGGAGTGAGCCCGTTGACCAACAGAGTCCGGCGCGACCGCCTCGCTTGGACTGTGCATTGCGTCGCATGCTCTCTGATCATTTTCTCACGCCTAATTAGCGACAAAGCTCCATCTTTGAGCCATTTTGACGGGGGGACGGTCAGGAGGTACGATCAGTGCGAATTTTTCGCGAAGCGACGCCGCAACGTACTTCAACCAATACACTAGCAGCACTGCAGGCGCAATGTTACTTATGGCATTGAGTCATGTATCTGCCTCTCCCCCCACCCCCGTGTTTTTGCGCCGGGAGTCTTTGATATGGGGAGCTCTATGAGTCCCAAGATCGGGACGCGGCAAGCGCGGCGAGGCGGCCGCCGCGCGCGGCGTACCTCCTGACGTGCAGCCATTTTGACGCGCTCACACTTGAGAACATGATTGGATGACACGTGCGTGAACGCGGTGCAGAGCCCAAGCGAGGCTCTCACGCTGGAATTGAGCCGGAGTCGGGCTCACTTCTAAGGGAACGGCCATGGGTTGTCGGTGTTGTCGGAGTTGCCGGCAGGGTCAAGTATGGGTTGTGGCACGCCACACAAGATATAACAATTTTTATTGCAGTGCCTCACAGTTCATCCCCTACAGGCATGTCACACATGTCACACCCCACACTTGACCCTGCCAACAACACCGACAACCTATGGCCGTTCCCTAAGGCCCCGGACAGACTTCAAGCGATTTGATCGTCGCGACTGAATCGCTACGAGACAACTGTTACAACATCATTCCATGCCGATCAACTTGTATTTCGGTTGTGATACTTTTCCAGCCCGAAATTTTTGATGTGAAATGAAAATGAATGGAAATGTCGGCGATTGAGTCGCGACGATCAAATCGCATGAAGTCTGTCCGGGGCCTAATGAGACAGAGGGTATTTCTCGCGTTGGTGTCACGCTAGCCATGCCGATTTCGACTGTACACTCTAAAAATAGACCTTACTGAACAACATGATGCCTTCATTCTTATTCTTATCAGTTGCTCATTTGCCAGCCTTGTCTTTTGGAAACCATCAAAACGAATCTAATTGTTTCTTGCGGATATATTCATTGCTTGTGGCAGGAGTATCGTCTCTTTTATTTGTAATGGCCAGTGAAGGTGCGCAATGTTTAGGCATTGTTAGAAGTGCTGAATGTACCAAGCATTCTTTTCATTCCATCCCATCTGGCTGCAACTTTTCCTTACAATACTGACTACGCTCTTGTTGTAGACGTTGGCTATCCGGAAACAGTAGCCGTCCCTGTAAGTTGCTTGCCCACTACAAAATTTCACTGTACGAAATTCTCTTATTTTCAGATTGCTGAAGGTGTCACGATGTTGTCTCTTTGGGAAGTTTCAAATATCGGTGCAAAGAAGTTGGAGGATAGAGTCCGCGAGTTGTTAAAACAATATGGTCGCCTAGAAAAATGGAATGAAGTATGCGAATTGACAGAGGATAACTGGAACTTAATAGAAGTATGTAATCACCACTCACTTTTTTGAACTTTTGTATTCGTTTTTTTTTGAGGAGGCAAATATCATAGAAGACATATGTGTACGATATGTATTTTGCTGTCCCTATGAGCGTGGCCAAGCCATCCAAGCAGAAGGAGCTGAGCACGGGTTACCGCCTATCAAGTCGGTCAAGATACCTCTTGGATCAGACTTCTTATTAGTTCCAGGCTTCGTGAGGTGACTATTTTGTTAGAAATTTGAAGATTGAATAACTTTTCCATTGGATAACTTTTCCATTCAAGAGAAGCTGCATGTGAGGTCTTCTTTGAGCGAGGTTGCGACGATGTATCGCTTCCAAAGCTGATCCATTCGATTGTTGAAAGGGTGATTTGAGTTTAGATCTTCCTATTTCTATGTCAAACTCTTGATTCCAGTGTCCCCTAGATCTGCGGAAAAGAATGTTTGAAAGTATGTTGGTCACGGGAGGGCCGTCATTGATTCCAGGTTTTCTCAGCCGTTTGAAGGTTGGTTCTAGCGAGTTGCGCCTTCAAAACTTTTATTTGTTTATCTTGATCATTTTGGCATTGTGCATATATAAGATTCCTGTGTGATTTAGGCTGAGTTGAAAGAAGAAGCGAAGTCCAGTCCGAGTAAAACGAAGCAATGCGAATCCATTCGCTTCTACAGATTTTCAGACCAAAGTGCTGAGCTATATTTGCCTTGGTTGGGAGGTACGCTGTTTTGCCTTCCATCGATTTTCAATTCAAAGCCTAGAACCATTTTGTTTCTTTTAGGAAGCCTTTTTGGTGCTTTGCAAGACGCTGTCCAGCTCAGATCAATATCGAGAGAAACTTGGATTGAAGACAGGAGCATACCTGACTGGACTGACTATGTCCGCCATGGCATCCCTTGCGGCAAACCTGAACTTGAACGCTGAAAGCCGTTTTGAATTTTGCGTGTTTCATGCTTCCTAGCTTACAACGAATGGTCAAAAGTTCAAGAGGTTCCGGCCGTTCCCAAAAAGTTGCACATCATTGAGTGCAGCAGCGTTAGAGACGGTGTCTTGCCAAAATTTTGCTCCGCGGTTTTTTTTTTACCCTCGGAGCCTTCACCATGCTGAACCCACATCTAGGTTTTGCAGCGCACGAAAATGGCGAAAATGATCCTTTCTCGAAGCTTCCATGTCCGCACTCGTTACAAAGTATGTGTAGGTGTGGGCGGGGTCCGGAGCGAAGGGCGGAGTCTGTCAAACTTCTAAAGTGAATTTTAGGCTTCTCAGACACGCCTTTTCGCTCGAGACTCCTCTGACAGATCAGTTGGAGTGCCTGCCGCTGCAGTGCTTCAGAATCCCGGTACCCATCATCTCGAACGCTGCCTCTAAGCATTAGTTCATATTCGCCGCTTATGCCAACCATCTATATATTGCATGTTCCACCCGGTAATAGTCCTAACTTACAATATATAGATTGAGCTGTAAACTAAAACTGCCCTGAACTGCATCTTTTTGATGATGAGATTTCTTTTACACACACATGATCTTTTTTTTTGCAGTCTGCAAATTGTGCATAACTCCTCTCACCTGTGAGATTAGAAAGCAGATTCGAAATCAGAATCTTTCACCTGGTTCATCCGTCTCACGCACACGTTCTGCCTACCTCGTTAGCCCTTTCCCTTAGGACGCTTCGCTTCGCGAGGAATCCGTTGTTCTTAGTGTTCATCGGTCATCTGTTCTTCTCACGATGTGGCCGGTCCATCGGTGCTTCGCTTTCGCAACATATATCGCTAAATCATGAAAACAGGATGTTTCTTTCATATCATTGCTGCAAGGTTCCTTGATATATCGCTTTTATGGGGTGACGATCAGAAGATCAAGCTGAAACCCAAAGGAGTCCGTAAAGGTTCTGACGTTTTACAGTGTAGGCTCTTCAGCACTGGAAGACGCTTATGGCGGAAGGCGTTCTCGAATTTGGATCTTAGCTTTAAGGCATGATTCGCGCGATTCGCCAAATCGCAACATCGATTATAGGCGCGTAGCTTCCGTATATTGCGCAAATGCACCAAGTTTGGCTTAAGTAAAACTTACTTACGACCAATTATAAAGTCGGGTTGCACTACCAGATCGCGCAGCTACTGAATCGCTGAACTTGGGCCTTAGAAGGTAAGTGGATTGTTCTAGAAACATGAAAAGTGCCTGGCTGCTCCTCTTTCTTCTTGAGTTTCATCTACTAAGATCTTTCTTCAAGTTTTCCAGGTTCATGGAGTGCACTATACACCAGGAAGACGTCTCTGTAGTGGGGATGACCATCTCTGCTCTTTTCAGTTTCTTCAACACCCAAGAAGAATAGTGTAGTCAGCAAATGAGAGTTTGTATTTCCCATCAATTCTTGAGCCCTTCTCGTTTCTCTCCAATAATTTCATCACCCTCTGCCAAGCCGCGATGAACAGCTTCATAAGACTGTGTGTTTGTGTCCCCCTGCCGTGCTTCTCAATTGAGATGATCAGGGGGCGATGGAGCGGCTGAATTGTTGTGGTGCAGTTTCTGTAGCAGTCACTAGTGCCCTTTCCATCAACGCGTACGTCTCTCTCGTCCCAGTCAGTGACTTCATCACCCACTGCAAGACCGCGATAAACAGCTTTGGCGAGATTGTGTCGCTTTGTTGGACCTCCTTCCCAACTGGAATGGTCAGGGGCGATGGAATAGCTGCATCGTCGCTGTGCAGTCCTTGTAGCATTCGGCTAACGTCCTCACGCAAGCTGGGTGCACTCCCTGATCGACAAGCAGACAGGATGGGGTTGGTTTCGACGCTGTCAAAAGCTTTGTCGTGGTAACGAAGGTTAGGACGAGGCAGTCGATACTCCCGGCAGACTTCTAAGATCTTCGAAACCATCTGGATGTGGTCCATGCAGTTGAATCCTTTGCGAAGTTTTGTTCTTGTGGTTGAGCTTCATCCAGCTAATCTTCGTGGAAAGCTTGTACAGCACGCTCAACAGGAATATTGGACGCAGTCCTGAAGATTTGTTTATTTATTTATTTACTCATACGCTCTATGGCGTTCCTTACAAAAAGAACAAGAGAAAAAAAAAGTACATACACAGTAAATCGAACAACCCCAGTCAAGGACCACCGTGCCGTTGGACCCATACCTTTAAATTAGTTAAGAAGTATGTTTGATAGAGCTTGCATGTGACTGCTCTGGACTACAAGATCCTCCCGTTTGCCTTTTTTAAAGAGAATGGCGAAGATAGGGCATCCTTCCCTTCAAAGATAGAATGTTGGATGCAGCTTGAGAGTTCCGTGCAGAATGTGTGGGTGTCTTCCCGTTTGCAGAAACTCTACAGAAAGGTGATCTGGTCCGGAGCCGTGAATGTGTTTATGGCTTGAGTCGCGGTTCGCATTCTATAAGAACGTGGTGGTACGATTCTCCAATAAGAACAAGTGCGTCGGCAGGGCGTTGATGAACTCAAGAAGCTGGCGCAGAGGTTCATTGATGTGCAACTTTGGGAATGGCCACTTTGAATTCTGACTCCCTTCTTAGAATGCAGCTATGATATCATTCAGGCTACAGTCTGGCTTATTTCAAGCGTTATATTCTTTTTTCATTCCCATGTGAAGTATATAATCACAATAATGCTTTGCTCGTGCATATTCATACCGGTAATGTATCATCATTGTAGGTGCACTTTCTCTTCTCCATGGGAGTTATCTACCCTTTCCTTCCATCTAGCTTTATTTTTTGATATCTTATACTTGCATAAGCTCATTATCTGTAAGGTTCTGATTGAGTTGTTTGTGTTTTATAGAAATGCCGGAGGTTGAACCTATGGAGCTGAGTCGTTGCACACATATGTTTTCGGCCCCGGCGCAGACCATAGGCTACTTTTTGCGCCCTTTTATCAATTTATTGACTGGTTTACATATCTGTAAGGAAATGAAAGTTTATCATGCAACCAAGCATTTTCTCATAGTCATGTGAAGAGGGTTGTATAGCTCATTTCAGTCTCAAGATCACGAGGATGAGGTGAATCAAAGTGGGTTGTTCCGATTTAGGTCAACCATAACATGGAAGGGAGGATGGGGGGGGGGGGGGGGGGAGGGGGTGGTGGTCTCTAGTGCAGTAATCATGCTGGCGATCGATACAGCATCTAAGTCAATCTCAGTGAAGTAGATCCTATACTTAGGAAAATTCGAAATTTTTTTCGAATATTCGAATATCGAATATATTTGAAGATTGAAAATTTCGAATATCCGACTACCGAATAATGTTTGAAAATCGAAAATTTTAAATTTTCGAAAATCGAATATCATTCGGCTTTCGAATATCGTTTGAAAAATTGAATGAGTATGTGTTATGATAACATGGCCAAGGATATAGTTTACAAGTACTGTGCGCCTTTGTAGTTCCCTTTTATGCGACTACTGCTCTGCAGTGCATGAAGTTTGTGCAGATATTAGCGGCATCCGTTTCATCCATATTGCTCGTTGCGTTGTTTTTCGAGTTTTGTTTCGAGTCCACCATGCAACATGTCGAGAAGGTATTGTCGAAATACAAGAACGGAACACTTCGTACGAACTTTGTTCCAATACCAGTGTAAAACATTTCTCGCCTCCAATGGGATGCGCACTTACAATCTGCCGCCATCACCCACGTAATCGCACACTAAAGTTGCGATGAAATATATTGAAGATGAATCGTCCACCAATCATGTCCTGATGTACTCAAATCCTGACTTCTGTGCAGTATCAAGATCGCTACTTAGCACATCATTGCTAGGGAACCCATACTGCTGGCCGGTCGGTACTGTTATGACCGTTGCCATGATTTTTTATCTAACTAGCATGATGACTCTCATAGCATTGTGGGGAGCGCTATCGCTTATCAGAATCACCCGCAAAAGCCCTGGACAAGTGCAAAATATATATTCTACTAGCGACCCTACGGGTCGCTAGCAAGTGGGTCGGGGCAGATACATATAAGGGCTTAGGTTTGACTAAAAATATTTCTAAATAAGTTTCCTGTTCCTTTCCTGCATTTTTGCGAAGAGCATTCTACAAAAGGAGAACTGCTCGAAAAAACGATAATCTCCACAGATCATTCAGCATTTCTCGAAATTCCTGCTACATCCATGCATGATATTATTTTTATCTCGTTTACGCGCTTTTTATGCAAATCCCCCTTTTCACAGAGATATTCAGATAACCCCCCCCCCCCCACTTTTCTACCCTCTCAAAGAGAATTTGCTCTTTGATTTCTTCTCAACAAGTTCCATAAAAGATCGTTAAGTAAGTAGCAGAACATATCGTTTTGGAAGTAGAAATACACCATAAGAATTATGTGTATTACAAAAAACACTTTCCTCTCAGAATCAGTTCCGACAGCAACGAAATCAGTCGTCTAAGAACTTTGTCAAAGAATGCTTCAATTTTTTCGCCAAAGGAATATGAAGCTTTACTACAAAAGGGAGCCACCCAAAGACCGTCAATCATAAGAACTGCACAAACGTGTAAAAAATTTCTTTCCCTTTCCGACCAAATTGCCTTACGTGCCGTTTACAAACCAATCATCTATCTGAAAGACATCATGCCCTACGTGCCGCTTGAAACCGTTAAAAAATTACAGGGACTGCCATAACATACAAAAATCTGTTTCCCTGCCCGATCGGGTTGCCCTACGTGCCGCTTACAGACCGATAGTAACTATTCAAAAAGAAAGTTTATGCCTTACGTGCCGCTTGAAGACCGTTAAAAAATTACAAGAACTGCCCCAAACAAAAATCTCTTCCCCTGCCCGGTCAAGTTGCCCTACGCGCCGCTTGAAGACCGTTTGAAAATTATAAGGACTGCCCCAAACATACAAGAACCTGTTCCCCTGCCCGATCAAGTTGCCCTACGTGCGCTTGAAGACCGTTTAAAAATTATAAGAACTGCCCCAAACGTACAAAAATCTGTTCCCCTGCCCGATCGGGTTGCCCTACGTGCCGCTTACAGACCGATAGTAACTATTCAAAAAGAAAGTTTATGCCTTACGTGCCGCTTGAAGACCGTTAAAAAATTACAAGAACTGCCCCAAACACAAAAATCTGTTCCCCTGCCCGATCAAGTTGCCCTACTTGCCGCTTGAAGACCGTTAAAAAATTACAAGAACTGCCCGAAACAC